TGTTTGCATTTGTTTAAATTTTATTTATTTATTTATTTATTTATTTATTTATTTATTTATTTATTTATTTATTTATTTATTTATTTATTTATTTATTTATTTATTTATTTATTTATTTATTTATTTATTTATTTATTTATTCAAGACGCAACAACAAATAAATCTGTAATTACAATTATAATCGAACAACTCAGAGCTATTGATATATTCATTAAAAAAACGATATAGAGTTTTCAAAAGCCTTCGAAAATCATTTTCACATTCTGAGAAGCTAAACGAGATTTATTTGCAATGATTAGGTAGTTGCGGAATTGAGTTCCAAGCGACGATAACAACACACGCTAAAACACAAAGGCGTAGACGCTTGTTTTATAAATTACAAAACATGGAAAAAACACACCAAAAGTTTATTCCTGGTAGATCAAAATCAAAAGGTATAAAAGTCATCTATGCATACAGGGCAAAGATACCTGTATATGTATATTTGTTTGATAGTGATCCGCTAAGTTATATTGCAATTATTGCGTCCACAAGAAAAGTTTACGATGACAACGACTGCGTATAGCAGATATTTTCCCTTCACTTCAATACGGACAAGTCACAAATTGTTAAAGCTTGAGTGTCGTCACCTGCGCATGCGTCAGGTGGCCATAGCGTGTCACTGTTTACAAACAAGCGTCTGTCCATGAGTCTTTGCGTTTTAGCGTGTGTTGTTATCGTCGCTTGGGACTCAATTCCCGCGCGTGCGCAGATGACGACCCTATCGCTTTAATCAAATCTTTACCTTTTAATTGTTTGTAGTTGGTGGTGTTCGAGGTGATCCGCATATGACAACATTTGATGGTCGCCCATTCAGTTTCCAGGGACAATGTTGGTATACTTTAGTTAAAGACTGTTCTGATCGAAAACCCAATTTTGAAATCACGGCTAAATTTGAGCCCCGTAAAGATAGCACTGCTGACAATATCAAGACCAGAATTGTTGCCTTTTATGTGACTGTTGGTGAGGAGTATGTAATTGTGAACGGACTTAATGTAATCACAGTGAGTATTGGGCATTTTATTGTTACGTATATTACAGAGTACTGGTATTCTTTAAATACATTGTTCATTTCATATACTTTATTATTATACATTTGTCACCGTAACGCCATAAGTTACAGCGTGCCGTAATTTTGCGGTATTTTAGAGGGTATTTTTATCCTACCATATTAGGAAATGCGAATTTCGAATATGGAATGATTACGTGCATAGCATAAGCGTCCTCTAATAATAAAAACAAATATGACTGTCATTAGCGTTTGACTAGACTCCAACACAAGGAAGTTCGCTGATTCTGTTCTAAACTTTTTGGATTTCGGCATTTCCATGATATATCCTTGGTAGAAAAAAATGTATAATAATTAGATTATTACGAGAATACCTCAAAGTATGCACTGCGCGTCGGTCGATACTCCAGCTGTACTGTCTTCGTGCATACTTTGAGATATTCTCGTAATAACCTCATATTATGATATGAATTATTTGTGGCTTCCAGGTTCACGTGACAATTATGTCCGAGTACTTCATAAACTTCGCCATCTTGTTCAATCCTCGTTCGAAGATACGCATTATACAATCACTGTAATAGCCTTCTGAATATTACACAACTTGGTACATAAATATCACTTTTTTTTACTCTGAAATAAAAAAACGACGTTGTCGCTCGGCACAAATTCGGGTGTGAATGAGTGCAGTGTAAAGTTTGGATGAGCCTACAATTTTCAAGCGTAAAATATCACTATAAAACGCGCCTTAGATTCTCGCACTTGATCTGATAAATATGTTTTAATATTCACATTTTTCGGAAAGAGACATTTATTTCCGTAATTGTATTCTCCGAAGGGAAATGATGATGAATTTGCAGTTAACCCGAATAAGATCAAGGTCACCCAGCATGAGGAAAAGATTGTATTGGAATTCACTCAGACGGACACGTTATTCCGGATCGACTGGACGCTGAGAAAACATGTCTGGAATATCTCTCTTTCTGGTTCTGGTTACCATGGTAAACTGTGTGGTCTTCTAGGTGATAATGATGGCGACAGTCGCAATGACTTCCGTAAGCCTGATGGTACCGCCGCGATGAACACTGTTGAGTTTGGGGAAAGCTGGAGCGTACCGGAATTAAAGTGAGTAATTTTGTATTAGATCTTATGATTGGCTAACTATTCAAACGCTCAAGTTAACCGACCAATGATTAGTAATGTAAAATGTTGTTCTCGAAATGTCATGGTACAATAACATCATGTATTACATAATAAACCAATAAACTTTGTCATACGATTTGTGACCAACTTTTTCAATGATCATGAGCTTCTCCCTTAACATTATCAGAATCAGATGGAATAAAAACCTATCAAACTGTGTTACTTTTTTTGAGTTGGCATTTGGAATCAATAAAATCCATGAGCAAAACTAACTAAAAAAGGAAATAAACAACATGAAAAATTGCTTTGTTACAGACTGTAAACATGTGCATCAGTTCTTTCAGTAAAGGACAAAAATGGAAAGTATGAAGAAGTTAGTTGTAAGAGCTATTCTGTCACGTGTGTTGAAACCATCCGAGTTTGTCGAAATATGTAACACGTGACTCTAACGATAAATGATGGGATTTTATTATGACAACGTGCAATTAATATGCAAATATTTTAATAATATTAGTACTTTTCTAATCCATTCCTTTTTTATTACAGGTGCTACTAGATCCTTTTTG